CAGAGCCGTCAGATCGTGAAGCTCGAGCGCCTGGTCCAACTCCGACTCTGGGAAGTGTTTGCAGGCTGCTCGATACTTGCCCTTGATGTCAACGTAGACCCTCCAGCTGGTCCTGTGAAACTTTACCCCGATGTAGCCGCCTTCGCTTCGAGTGACGTTTTGACCGTTTGCTGAACGGTCGACAATGCGAAGGTTGGTGAGGCGATGGTCGAAGCGATCCAGGTTGACATGATCGACCACTTGATGGACTGGCTCATTGAGGAGCCAGTGCGAAAGAAGGGAGCTTTTGCCATCGTCACGAATCGCCGCCCTGCCCCAGGTGATATACACCTTGGCATCGCGAGCCACAATGTCCTTCCAGCTTTCATCGTCCAGCGGGATCCTGACATCCTCTCCCTTGTCCTTGGCTGCAATGTAGGCGACTCTGTCCTCCTTGCGTGTGACCTTGAGCGTTTGGCATTTCTTTTCCCAGGCAGCTTCCTTCTTCTTCTTTTCGGCCTGCATCTTTGCCAGCAGACCTTTTGCTGCCTCCTTTGCCGACGAAAGCTCGGCAAACGCCTGACCGTCGCAAGGTCGACCATGCCAACTGCGACCCACTCGATCTACCGCAGCCGTCGGTCGACCCTGACCGCTGCAAGGTCGACCATGCCGACTGCCACTTGATCTACGTCATCCGTCGGACGACCCTGATCGCTGCACGACCGATCATGCGGGGTTGATCACGCCAACGGCGATTCCTGAGACAGTCGCCCGTCTGCGGACCCGGAACGCTTCATAGTCGACCATGCCAACAACGATCCACTCGACAACACGGCGGCCAACCTGCACTGGGTGACGCCATCATTCAACACCCTCAACATGCGGAGGACCGCACCGTCTTCGGGCTTCTTTGGCTTCGCTAAATCTGGGCAGCGTTTCAAAGTCGTTGTAGCAGGTGTGCCGAATGGCACGTACAACAATGCTGAGACTGCCACGCTCATCTACAACATCATCACGCGGCTCAAGTACGGATCTCAGCTCGACAAGACGCCGCACCTGCTCAACCAGGTCGGCGTCGGCGCGGATTCTCGTGCGTCTAAGTCATGGACGCAAGTCAGCCGCGTCGAAGGATCCGTGTCGACGACGGAGGCGGGGGAGGCTGCAGAAAGCTAGTCGCGCGTATGCTGGACGTCGACGTGAGTAGTAAAATCCGACGGCGGTAAGAAAATTCGCGTATTACCAACAGCTGGCTTTGACAGCTAGCACGCACTGCTGTGCCTATCAGAGAATGCCCCTTCTACGACCCCTGTAATGATGTCATCGTGGGTCGCCAACTTACACTCTAGTCGAATAGAAAGAGCGATTGGCATTGCTGGGTTCGAATCTCTGCGTACATGTAGTGACAGTTGCAGACACGCTGCTTCGCGTCTACGAGGACTCGCTCTTGGCGCCGTCTCCACGAGTAGCAGCACCCGTGCTGCCGGCAGCCGTGCTACCTCCAGCAGCACCCTCACCTTCCTCGCTGGAGCCACCTTGACCCGCAATTACGTTTGCCGGATTAGCAGACCCGTTCGGCTCTTCTGCGCCGTTCGAGCCCTGTCCTTCCGGAGTT